AATGACCCACAATTTAATCTCCCTAACTGCAATTTCATTTTTGCATGTTGTATTTTTTTTTATGTTGTTGCAATCACAGTGCCCATCATAATTCTATTTCCTCTCCACATCAAATAATCAATTCTCTGTTTTTGATCATTTCTTACATTTATTTAAAATATTCCACCTTATCGAAATCCTATCATTTAAATATTATACCATTTAATTAATGTTAGAAGTTTATATTGTTCCTGGATCTTTGTATCCTTCAGGCAATTGTGTTTTTAAGATGTTCTAAAATCCAGTGGGATTTAAACATAGGTGGAAAGAAAGAAGAGCTGGAGTCCTTGCACTGAGAACCTCCTAGACCCAGGGGAAGATTGAGGCCAAAACACGTGGAGAGAGAAAGTCTTCCCCAAGAGCTGGTGCCCTGAATTTGAACTTCAAGCCTCATGAACTGCAAAAGAATTATTTTTTGTCTGTTAAAGCCAAAAAAAAAAAAGGGGGGGGGGGAAGAAAAAATGAGAAAACCATAAAAAGTAAAACAAGGCATGGAAAGAAAAGAAAGAAAGAAAAAAGAAGGGAACCAGGAAAAGGGAAGAGAAACAAAATCAAGAACCAGGGAAGGGAAAGAGAAAAAAAGTAGAAAGGAGGAAGAAAAAAAAAAAAAAAAGAATAATTAAAAAACAAACAAACTAAAACAAAACGGAGGGTAGGAGGGGGGGCAGGGCAAACAGATCAGGAAGGCATTTCCTGCCAGTCCAGGAGGTGGGTGGGGATGGGGATGGTCATACCTCTGTTCACCAAGAGGGTGTCAGGTGTAAGAGTAACAAGGGGAATATTGCACCTTTCTAATCATCAGTCTCCAGTGAGGCTGGCTGGACTGTCCTCAGCAAACAGAGCCTATTCTTAAGTTGCTTGTCTGGATTGGAATGCCACTTGTAAATATTCAAAACAGCTACACTGCTTGCAAATATTTAAAATTGCTATGCCCTTAGGACAGCTGACAGCTGACTTTGTCTCCTTATTCTCTGTTTTAACTCTCTAGTCATCAGCCACCAGAGCAGTTTTCCATGCAGTCCTTGGTGAGAAGAGCCCATTCTTAGGTTACTGCCCAAATCAGAGTGGCACTTGTAAATATTCAAATTGGCCAAGCTGCCAGGACAGCTAACAATTCACAGCTCTGTTTGTCTGTTGTATTTTCATTCAGGCTCTTCTGCTAGTTGGTATTTAATCTACTTCTTTATCCTTTCCTTCAGAGCTCAGGATTCCAGGATTATCTTTTGTATCTGTTTCAATTGGGTTCTCATTTCTTTGCTGAAAAGGGTCTAGGTAGCCTGTCTGTCTGTTCTGTCATCTTTCCCCCTACTTCTCGGATTATTTGCTCAGCATACAGATTGAATAAATACTGTAAGAGGATGAAACTCTGATGCATACCCTTCCTGATTTTAAACCATGCAATAAATATACTTTTTCTGTTCAAATGACAGCCTCTTGGTCTATGTACAGTTCCTCATGTACACAGTTAAGTGTTCTGGAATTCCCAACCATTACAGTGTTGTCCATAATTTGTTATGATCCATGCAGTCAAATGCCTTTGTGTGGTCAATAATATACAGGTAAAAATCTTTCTACTGGTATTCTTTGCTTTGAGCCAAGATCCATCTGACATCAGCAATGATATTCCTCATTCCACATCCTCTTCTGAATCCAGCTTGAATTTCAGGAAGTTCCCTGTCTAGGTACTGTTGCAACTATTTTTGAATTATCTTCAGCAAAAAATTTACTTGTGTGTGACATTAATGATATTCAATAATTTCCACATTCTGTTGGACTACTTTTCTTTGGAAAGTGCACACAAATCGATCTCTTCCAGTTAGTTGGCCAGGTAGCTCTCTTCCAAATTTCTTTCTTTATAGGAGTAAGTGCCTCCAGTGCTGCATCCATTTGTTGAAACATCTCAGTGGGTATTCCATCAATTCCTGGATCCTTGTTTTTCACCAATAATACCTTCAGTTCAGCTTGGACTTCTTCCTTTAATACCATTGGTTCTTGATCATGTAATACCTCCTGAAAAGGTTGAATGTCAACCAGTTCTTTTTGGTACAGTGACTCTGTGTATTCCTTCCATCTTCTTGTGATGCTTCCTGCATCATTCAGTATTAAGCCCAAAAAATCATCCAGTATTGCAATTCAAGGCTTCAATTTTTTTCTTCAGTTCTTTCAGCTTGAGAAATGCTGAGCATGTTCTTCCTTTTTGATTTTCTAATTCCATATCTTTGTGCATTTCATTATAGGTTACTTTGTCTTCTCAAGCTGTCCTTTGAAATCTTCTGTTCAGCTCTTTTACTTCATCACTTCTTCCATTCGCTTTAGCTCACTCAAGAGCAAGTTTTAGAGTCTCTTCTGAGATCCATTTTGGCCTTTTCCTCCCTTCCTGTCTTTTCAATGATCTTTTGCTTTCTTCATGGATGATGTTCTTCCAGAATGAAGTCATTCCATAACTCATCTAGTCTTCAGTCATTAGTGTTCAATGCATCAAATCTACTCTTCACATGGTCTCTAAGTTCAGGTGGGATAAAAATCAATGTCGTATTTTGACTTTCATGGACTTGTTTAATTTTCTTTAGTTTCAACTTTAACTTGCATATGAGCAGTTGATGGTCTGTCCTCAGTCAGCTCCTGGCCTTGTTTGACTGATGATATTGAGTTTCTCCATTGCCTCTTTCCACAGATGGAGTCAATTTGATCCCTCTATATTCCATCTGGTGAGGTCCTTATGTATAGCTGCTGTTTATGTTGCTGAAAAGAGGTATTTGTAATAAGTCGTTGGTCTTGCAAAATTCCATCATGTAATTTCTCACATCATTTCTATCCCCAAAGCCCTATTCCAACTACTTGTCCTTCTTTGTTTCCAATTTTCATCTAATCACCATGAATTATCAATACATCTTGATTGCATGTTTGGTCAATTTCAGACTGCAGAAGTAAAAATCTTCAATTTCTTCATCTTTGGCTTTGGTGGTTGGTGTGTAAATTTGAATAACAGTAGTATTAACTGGTCTTCTTTGTAGGCATATGGATATTATCTTATCACTAACAGCATTATACTTCAGGATCTTGCTATGTCCTTTTTGATGATGGATGCAACACCATTCTTCTTCAATTTGTCATTCCTGCATAGTAGATCAAATGACTGATTGTCTGACTCAAAATGGCCAATACCAGTCCATTTCAGCTCATTCATGCCTAGGATATTGATCTTTATGAATTCCATTTCATTTTTGATGACTTCCAATGTTCTTAGATTCATACTTTGTACCTTCCACATTGATTATTAATGTTTTTTGCAGCTGTCTCTTCCCATTTTGAGTCATCCATCAGCAAATGGAGGTCCTGAACACTTACTCCATCTATGTCTTTAAGGTCAACTCTGATTTGAGGAGACAGCTCATCCCCAGTCGGTTTTTGAATGCCTTCCAACCTGATGAGCTCATCTTCTGGCACTATATCGGACAAAGTTGCACTGCTACTCGTAAAGTTTTCCAGTAATATATCAGTTTTTCAGTTATTCATAAGGTTTTCAGTGGCCAATGTCTTCAGAAGTGGATGGCCTCATTTTCTTCCCAGTCTGTCTTAGTCTGGAAGCTCTGCTAAAAGCTTGTCCACCATGGGTGACCCTGATGATATTTGACGTACTGGAGAGATAGTTTCCAGCCTCACAGGAACACACAAGCCACCACAGTAGAACAAGCTGAGAGGAGTGATGACTGAGTGGAACCATGTAAATGTGAGGTGTCTGTGGTATACCAAGGGGACTGGATAGCTTGTTAATAATGTAAATCAGGTACATGGCACCCTTCTGGGGGTGGGACCATGGAAATGAGGTGTATGGAACCCTAATGTGGGGATTGGTCAGTTATGTCATTTTGCTAGGCTTAAAATGAGCCCTCCTAGAGGTGGAAAAGGGGAATCCCACCAGCATCAAGAAAAGAGAAGCCAAGAGTGGAGTACTTCCTTGGATCTGAGTGTCCTGTGCTCAAAGGATGGCAGAGAGTAAGCAGAGAGACAGCGGCAGCAGAACCAAGAAACTGGCACAAGACAGTTCAGCAGGCTTGCCAGCCCATGGAATGAGATAGTTGAGTGCCTTTGGGCAGGAGGCTTGCTGGCGGAGCAGGTGCACCTACTGGAAGTGCTAAAAAGAACGTTTAACCCTTGCCAGAGCACAGCAGAAGCCAGACAAAAGTCCAAGGGCTAAAGAGAGGCATGCCCTCCAGCATGGACAAGGGGAAGCTGTCCTGATCAAAGAATTACAGTGAGTGCATTCCTGAATCGGAATTATAACCCGTTACTTCTCTAATAAACCTCATAACCAAGAGTGTTTTGTGTGAGTTCGCTGTGGCCACTGCAATGAATTATTGAACCCAGCAGAAAAGTAGTGAGTGCCATGGGAGGGGGTTAGTATCAGAATTGGCAAAAAGGTTGGAAGGGCGGCGGCATGTCTGGCCTCACAGGAACCAGCCTTGGACTGCTGACGCTAATGGTGATTCTTTTTCCCATTGGTGAAGTTAAAGGAGGTCAGAAGAAGACACCGCCCCCATGCCCTTTTAGCACGGCTGGAGAGCCAGGGAAGGTTATAGAGGATTACAGGGCAGCACTTTCTCCGAGAGGGTTAGTCCGTCTACCCCTCCTTCTCCTGGCATCGTTGGGGGGACGCTGTCAAAGGCGCCCAGTTTGAGTCTAGCAAGTAGCGCGCTCGTCGCCCCTGGCAACAGAGTCTGGAAAAACCACTGAGACCAGCAGGAGAGTGCAGAGCGGTCGGCCCAAGCCAGCGAATCGCTCAGAAGTGGAGAGGCGCGCCTGGCCTATTGTCACGTGGGCGGCTGCGCGAAGGCGGGACTTCCGGCTGCGCGGGCTTTTCTTTCCGGTTGTTGGTTCCTGCCGGCCCCTCCCAGATTGGGCCCTGCGCCCCCCCCCACCCCGCGCCCCCGCGGCCCCCTGCCGCCGGGCCCCCTGTCATCATGAAGAAGTTCTTCCAGGAGATCAAGGCAGACATCAAGTTCAAAAGCGCGGGGCCCGGTCAGAAGCTTACAGAGTCGGTGGGGTGCGTAATGGGCTCAGAGGCTTGCGGCCTAGGGGGCGGGAGAGTGGCCTGAAATCTCCGGAGCTCGGGGCGCGGAGGGATGACGAGAGTCCCAAGGCCAGAGCGGTGAGGAAGGCGGAGCATGAGGGGGCGGGGTTGGGTGGGCGTGTGGGGGAAGGGCAGTCCTTAGGGGGCGGGGCAGGACTGGCTTGGCTGGAGGGGCGGGGCGCGCTGGGGTCCTTTATGGAGTCGGAATGGTTTAGGGGTGTAGATGGTCAGAAAGTAGGGGCTGATTCTGGAGAAACAAGTACAACTTGGGTCACGAAGAGTCGATGTGAGGGTTAGTGTCTGTGGAAGTAGAGGTTCAGGGCCATGGTTCTGGGGTGCGTGGCAGGACGGGGGTGGGTTGGTGGGGAGACCAGAAAGAGTCTGGAAGTCTTGACTGCACTAGGCCGTTGTTGGAAGGGTTGGTGGTGATGTGGGAGATGTGGGGGAAGGTTTGGGGGGAGGGCGATGGGGGGATCTGGGGGAGACTGTGAGGAGAGAGACCTGTGTGAGGAGATTGGAGGGGAGATGAAGGGAGGCAGGATGAAGATGCCCGTTTCTGTGACTTATCTGGGGAGAACTTGAGAAAGAAGAGCGTTGGGTGAGGGGCTGGGGCTCGGGAGGAGATTGGAAGGTGGTCAGATTGAGGAAGGGAGCCTCTGAGGGCTGGTGGGCCATCAGGTGGGATGACACAAGGGAGTCTGGGGGGACAGGGCTTGCTGCAGGGGGCTATGGAGAGGGTCGTGGGGACTGAGAGGGTGGGTATTGTATGAGGATTGACTGAGGAAAGATGTCATCCTGGGGGGGGGTCCTGAGGAATAATGGAGGCAATTGTGAACAGGTGGGGGATGGGAGGAAAGGCAGAAAGACTGGAGGGAATGGAGAGGCAATGGGGATGGGTGAGGATGTGGGGCGGGGGCCACATCGAGGACAGTGAGTCATCAGTCACAGGGATTGGGGGTGCCAGGGGTTCTTCAGAGGGCACGCTGAGCGGGCTGAGCAGGATGTGGGAGGCCCATGAGGGCCAGGTCTGTGAGTAAGGGACGAATGACACGTCTGTTGTTACTTACCAACTAGTCAATTCTGACTCATGGTGACCCTACGTAGGGACAGTAGTATTACGTAGGGTTTTTGAGGCTGTGACTTTTTGGAAGCAGATTGCTAGATCTTTCTCTGGGTGGGTTTGAACTGTCAACTTTGTGACTGGTACCTGAGTGTTTAACTGTTTGCACCACCCTGGGACAAAACCAGGGTGTCTGGGGAGAGACATGGAGAGCAATGGGCAAGACAAGGTGGTTCACTCATTTATTCAAAAAGTAGTGGGTGAAGAGGGGGCCAGGACAGCTGGGACTGTGTGTGACAAGGGGATGGGGCCTGGGGGTGATGGCTGAGTCAGACTGGAGACCTGGTGGGGGTACTTAAGGGCAGGGATATGCAGATCCAGGCTGCTGTGACTGGTCTAGACAAGACGAGACTCGACGACTTGGGCGGTGGGGATGCGTGAGCTGTGGTGGACGGGCATGCCCAGCTCCCCAGGCTCCTCAGGGGTGGAAGGAGAGGTCATGTCTGCTCTGCCAGTCTCCTCAGAGGTGGACGGGCAGGTCTGCTCTCCTGGGGTTCTGGGGTTCCCCAGGGCTGTATGGGCAGGTCTGTTCTGGGCTCCCTCTCTAATGGGGCCAATGGAAAGAGAAGCCATTGTCTAGATCATAAAGGATCAGGTGGTGCTCTCAAGACCAGAAGAAGGAATGATGAGGGTCAGGTCAGAGGTGGAGAGGACTGCCCTGGGAGGGCTTCTCTGAGGAGGTGACACTGATGCTGGGACCTAGGTGAGGTGAGAGACTTGGATCAAAACCTCCTCCTTCTTTCCCCACAGCAGCCTAGACCCCCTTCCCTCATCCCACCCCCAGTGGAACATTCGGGTGTTTGTGGGAGGGCAGCCTGGAGACTATGTGGATGGAGGGGGGTGTCAAGGATTGTTCTACATGTGAGGGAGTGCTTCCTGCAGAAGCATGGCAAGCCCTGGCTAAGGGCTCAGGAGGACCCCTCTGGCTGTCCTACAGGGGGCCCTGGGGGGAGTATCATAAGTGAGGTATTCTGGGAAATGCAGTGTTTATAGGAAGATTAGAAAGCAGGCTGGGCTTGGGTGGGCATCCACACTTACCTTTTCTTCAGCTGCAAGGAAAGGGTAGGAGCTCTGGTAGCGTAGTGCCTAAGGCATTTTACTGTTAACCGGAAGGCTGGTGGTTCAAACCCACCAGCCATTCCTCGGAAGGAACACTGGGCAATCTACTTCCATGGAGATACTGCCTCAGAAACCCAAGGAGGGGTCACTATGAGTCGGAATTTGACTCAACAGCAGTGAATTTGGTTTTTTGAGGCAAGGACAGGAGAGACAGGTAAAGTCAAGGTTGCAGAAAGAGAAGTGAGGTGAGGGGTGTGACCCAAGAGCTTGACAAGGTTCTGTGGATGCATGTAGCACAGATGATCTGAAGGGCTGGGTCTGGAGCAGAAGGAAGGCAAGGCTGAGGAGTCCGGCCAGGCGAGGGGAGGGGCCTCTGCCAGAAATGTTCAGGGCCAGCCATGTTCATGTTCATGGCCATTGCCCAGTGGGTCAGGCAGCCATCCCTATAAAACTGAAAACCAAAGCCATGGCCATCAAGTCAGTTCCAGCTCAGGGCAAGCCATGTGTTACAGAGTAGAACTGTCCCACAGGGTCTTCTTGGCCATCACCTTTACTGAAGCAGATCACCAGGCCTTTCTTCTGCAGTGCTATCGTGTGGGTTCAAACCACCAACCTTTAGGTTAGTAGCTGGGTGCCATTGGTGCCACTTAGCTGTCCCTCAGGTAGGGATAGTGACTGTCCTTCTTCTACAGGACATAGGACAGAGTTTAGGTTAACAAGGTCTCTGAAACGTACCTCACCTGTGGCCTGTGTGGTGTAAGGTGGCCAGTGACTGTGGTTCCATTGTTGGCTGACCCCCACAGCCTGCCACCACTGTCATGTGACCAGAGCACGTTGCCTGTACGTCGTGAGTTTCTCGTTTCTGAAAAGGGGGTCTGAAGACCTCCCTCAGAGGCTTGTAATGAAGCAAGAGCAAGGTGAGTCCCACCTGCACCAGGGCCAGTGTCTGACACACAATAGGCGCCCAATAAATGAAGTCATGTTGTGTTTGTTGTAGATAGTAAGAGTGAGCCCCTAATGGAAAGGAGAGAGGCGGAGGGAAGATGGTGTCTCTGAGTCTGTCAGTTCCTTAAGATGTTAGGATGCTTTTACACGTACGTCACTGTGACCCTTGCCTTGTGGGGCTGCTGATACCCTTGTTTTATGGATGGGTGCTCTGAGCCAGGCTGGGTGCAGGGCTTACCCAGGTCCAGAGTTGGAGCGTAGCCCCAGTCTCCCGCCTCCAGGGCCTCTGCCTGCAGTGGGAGTGTCTGCTGGCCGTGGGGGGGCCTGGAGAGAGGGGTGGGTGGTGGAAGGCCGACTAGTAGCTTTCTTGGACACCACATCAGCCTTGCTGGCCACCTTCAGAGAACACTTACTGTCCTCCGTCTGCCCCCAGGGAGAAGGCCCCCAAAGACAAGCCCAGCCAACCAGCTCTCAAGCAGCCCCGTCAGGGCCCCACCAATGAGGCGCAGATGGCGGCGGCGGCGGCCTTGGCCCGCCTGGAGCAGAAGCAGCCCCGGGGCCGAGGCCCTATATCACAGGATTCCATCCGGAACCAGGGTTAGCGCTTTCCAGTTCCCTGACCCCCGCTTGGCTCTGGGTGCACACGGGGACCTGACACTGGGGTGTCATAAGGTCACAATCACAAGAGGGTCTAGAGTGGTGTGTGCAGGGGAGGGAGGGGCAGGGGCTGATCTAGCAGGGGCAGGGGTCAGGGAATTTTCCTTGAGGGAAGGCGATGGAAGCTGAGACTTGTACAGGAAGAGCAAGTGGTTGGTGGAGTTGGGGGCAGGTGTGTGGTCTGGCTGAGGGACCAGAAGTTGACCTTCAGGGTCAGGGTCTGCGGAGGGGCAGGCCTTGTGAATGCGTCCAGCACGTGAATGGGGTCTCCGGGCAGGCCAGGGGGCTCCCACATTGTCAAATCTCTGCCTTTCCCTCCTGTTTCTCCTTCTAGTGAGGAAGGAACTTCAAGCAGAAGCGACCGCCAGTGGGAGCCCAGAGTCCCCAGGGACCAATGTGGTAAAAGCCTGGGGGTGGCCAGGGTGGGAGCATGGGCCCCTGCAGAGGGCCCACCTGGTATCTCGCTGTATCAGTCTAGTTGGCCATTTCCTCCTTATCAGCCTCGTGCTAAGAGCACCTGATGCTGGGGGAGTGGGGGGACAGAAGACCCATCACGGCCACCTCTGCCCTTGGACCTTGAAGGTGGGCTGGGGAAGCCCTATCTTGAACGGTTGGTTGAACATGGTGTCGCCCGAGCCTTCAGGGTTCAGTACCCAGTGACGTCCAGCTTGGGTTCCTCCCTGGAGCCTCAAATTGTGGGTGCTGTTAGAGCTTCCATTTTTCAGAAGAAAAAACAGATTCAGAGAGGTAAAGCCAGCTGTCCTTAGTAGGGCCAAGACTGGAACCCCAAAGCCAGTCACCTCAGCACTGCCCTCTGCTGCCTGCCTTATTCAGAGGCAAGAGGCTTCATGGAGATGGGTATAATGGGGGGCCTTCCTGTAGGAGGCAGGCTCCAAAGGGGAGAGAGATGGGAGTTGCAGGCAGCTTGGCCAGTGCGGACTCACTGCATTTATAGAATGGAAGGGGGCCCTAGAGATTGCGGCGCAGGGCAAGGTCAGGGCTTGCCCAGGGTACCTGTGAGTCAGCAGGAGCTGGGGCGGCATGTGCGCGGGGATCAGAAGCTGCTAAGTGCTCTGTGCTCCTGACCTCGTTTGATCTGGAGGTCATCCCATATAGAATCTTAAAAAAAAAAAAACCCTAAAGGAGCTCTGGTGGTGCAGTAGTAAAACGGCACGGGGTGGGGGGCTTCGGTCGCTGGGCCCAGGGCTCCCACGGCTCATCGGTGGCAGAGGTGGGATCAGGGAGTCTGGCTCCAGGGTCTCACCCCGACACACCTTCACCCCCAGGTCTCTGAGCCTAGAGAGGAAGGCTCAGCCCACCTGGCCGTGCCCGGAGTGTATTTCACCTGTCCGCTCACGGGGGCCACCCTGAGGAAGGACCAGCGGGATGCCCACATCAAAGAGGCTATTCTCTCGGTGAGCAGTGGCTACATGTCCCCCAGCCCACATCCCCAGGAAGCCTGGGTCCAGGCCCTTCATAAAGTCCTATGGTATTTTATTATGTTTATTTATTTTTTGTTTGCTTTTGTTTCTGTTTTAACGTCTTTAAAGAGGTCATGCTTATATGTGGTACAGGAATGAAAAGGTACAAACGAGTCAGTGAGAAAAGCCACTCCCCTCTTTGGAGGAGTCCAGGCCCCTTTTCAGAGCTGCTCAAGTACAGGTGGACCCCGACTTAAACAGGGCTCCATTCCAGTGACTCTGTCTGGGTTAGTTCTGAGTCAGTCGAGTATCTTGTTTTCTTGGTTTTCATTATTGTTGCCTTTTATCAGTATCTTTATAAAGCTGGCAGTGTTTGAACTGTCAATCATAATATCAAACATCTGCGAATGATAACCTCAGCAAATGACACTCTGCAACATGTTACCATAAAATGTACAAAAACACAGACGATTGTGAGTACAGGTCATTGTAACTTGAGTACGACTCGAGTAAGTTGGGGACTCCCTGTGTATACACCTCTCCGCCACTTGGTTTTGTTTTACGTAAAAATTTATGTACTGTTTATAGCTAACTTATAAACATGGAAGTATTAGTTCAAAAAGAGCTTCCATGTGAGTTTTTTCTTTCTGAGTGTTTGGAAATAATTTCAAATTTAAACTAATACTGTAAGAGTGATACAGAGAACATTGGATAGCTTTTATCTGGAGTATCAGTTTCCAGTTGCTGTAACATATGATTGTAAACATAGTAGCTTAAATAACACTGAAGTTACCTTCCAGTTCCCAGGGTCAGAAATCCAAAGTGGGTCTCCCAGTCAGGCTGCCCACAGGGCTGCACCCCTTCTGGAATCTCTGGGGGAGGGCAGGGTTGTGGGCATGGCTGAATCCCTCGGGAGGATCCAGGGCAGAGACCATTTCCTGGCCTCTTGAACCTTCTAGAGGCTACCCACACCCCTTGCTTTGTGGCCCCTCTTCCATCCTCAAAGACTTAGGAGCTGAGTCCTGAGTCCTCACGCTGCCATCTCTCTGGTTCTCTGTCTTCTGCATCCCTCCTCCCCTTTCAAGGACCCTGGTGATTACACAGAGGAGCCTTGGTGGTGCAGTGGTTAAGTGCTTGGCTGCAAACCTGAAAAGTTGGCAGTTTGAATCCACCAGCTGCTCCTTGGGGGAAAAAGGCATGGTGATCTGCTTCTGTAAGATGACAGCCTTGGAAACCCTCTGGGGCAGTTCCACTCTGTTCTCTAGGGGCGCTGGGAGTCTAACCAGTGTAACTGGTGGTCCTCCACGGGCGTCTCCCAATTCATGCTCCCACCAGCACTGAGTGAGAAAGTGCCCCCACCATTCACTGTTGGTTACCAAAGGCCTTTATCTTTAACCCAGTTAATGGGTGAGAGTCGGACCTCAGGGCGGTTTTAATTTGCGTTTCTGTCGTTTTGGGTTAGGTTGACCGTGTTTTCATGTAAGAAGGCACTTTTTGCCCCCTTTTCTGTTGTGTGTGTGGCCTCTTTCTTGGTGACGGATAGCTAGCTGTATGTCTTAAGGCATGTAGCCTATGGTCTGATGAGAGCTGCAAATACTTTTCCCCAGTTACTTATTTTTTTTTTTTATTCTGATTGTGAACACTTTGCCACGTAGGAGATGTTTATCTTTATGTGATTGAATTTGCCAGTCTCACAGCTTCTGAGTGTTGTGTCCTATTTAGGCAGAGTACTCTCTAAGATAATTCTCCGTGGCTGCTTCTAGTACTTCTCTGATGTCTCGCTGTTTCATTTGTTTGCTGTGTTTTAATAACATCCACAGCCAGAAGCCATTCAGTGCCGAGTGTGAGAGATGCAGCTCGTCTCATTTTTTTTCTGGATTGTTACCCGGTGCCCCGCCCCCAGCCTTATTTATTGAAAACACTGGTTCCCCCCCCATGTGAAATCTGACCTTAATCACAAGTAAACCTCCCCCTCCTCTCCCCCTCCTCCTTCCCCCATTCCCAGGCCCTTTCCCCCTCTTCCCTCCCACCTCTCCTATCCTCCTCTCTGCCTTCTCCCTCCCCCTGCTCTTCCCTTCCTCTCCCTTACCCTCTCCTCTCCCCCTCCCTCCCTCTCACCATATCCTCTCCTCCACTGCCCTTCTCTCCTCTCCTCCCCTCTGCTGCTTTCTGCATGTGTCCCCCTCCCTGCCCCCACGTCTCAGTTAGTGGGCTGGTTTGGTCCCACTTTGCAGCTGAGCTTAGTCTGACGCCAGCGTAGCTGCTTGGAGGCTCACCTGTGCACTTGAGGGCAGATGTGGGCTGGGCAGAGCCCACACCTGCCCTGGAGGCTCTGAGCCCTGAGCCCGCCTGTGCCAGGCCTGGGCTGATGTAGGACTGCTGGTTGAGCTGGGGTGCCTGGGCTACCGCGCGGGTCTCCCAGGTGAGGGTTCTACTGTTACTTGAGTGGGACCAGTGTGACTCTAGGCCCCCAGCTGCTGCAGAGACAGCCTGCCACCACACAGCCCAGACTCTAGGGCTGCAGAGAGACTTCCCTGGATGTGCGGGTGGTTGCCAGTCGCCAGCCGGGAGGGAGGCTGGGCGCCATGTGATCCTAGGGTGCCCACTGCAGCTCCTCCCTTCTCCTTCCTGGAGGCAGGTGGGATGCTGGGGATGGGGGCTGTGTGTGTATGTGGGGATTACATCAGGTGCCAGGGTGGTAATTCAGGTCTTCTGCTACTCCCCCACACGTCAGCACACAGAGGGGCTCCCAACCTCAGTTGCATCCTGCCCCTGCTGCCTGTCGTTCCTGTGAACCTGGATGAGGCACTTGCCATCGCTGCTCATCTGAATCACCTTCTGGCGTGTGCCAGAAGGACTTGCAGGGCCCCAGAGGGTTGGAGGGTCGAGGGCCTGGTGGCTCTGGGTGCCACAAATGCCAAGGAAAGCTGTAAAGCCAGAGTGGGAGGCAGAGCACTGGGGGGGGGGGTTCCACCCGAGAAGTTGTGGAAACCCGGGCCTTCAGACAGTCCAGGGAAGGCTGTCCTCCAGTCCTCCTCCCGTTCTGGTGCCTGGGCCCTGGCCCCTGGACGAGGGGCTGGGCAGGGGGCAGGGGCGCAGGCTTGGAAGGACTTTCCTTTTCTCAGAACGTGCCCTTGAGTCTGCTTTGTGCTGCTGTTCTGCACGTGGTCACTGTTGTCATTACTGTCACCTAAATGGTGAGGGGACAGGCTGCTTGGCCTGCGGGCAACAAGAGTTTGTGTGTTTTTTTTTGTATAATTGTTTATTTTATTGTCTGTATATTTTAAATAGATTTTTTACCTGTTGCTGTGGAGTCAGTTCCAACCGATAGTGACCCCTGTGTCAGAGTCCAACTGGGTCCCGTGGGGTTTCAGTGGCTCATTTCTCAGAAGGAGCTCTCCAGGCCTTTCTCCTGAGGTGCCTCTAGGGGCACCTGAACCTCCAGCTTTGAGGACATTAACTGTCTGTACCATCTAGGGGCTCCTGGGGCTCAGTTTCCAACAGTTCCCCCCTCCCTCCCTCCCCAGCACTTCTCCACAGACCCAGTGGCCGCCTCCATCATGAAGATCCACACATTCAACAAAGACCGGGACCGAGTAAAGCTGGGTGTGGACACCATTGCTAAGTGAGCGGTCCCCTCGCTGAATCCTGCTACGCAGTTACCACGCCCTCACCTGCTGGCTTGGCAAGGGGCCGGGGGAATGCAGTCGTGCCCCATCCCCACTGACTCTCAGCAAGGGGCTCTGCCTCTCCGCCCTCAGTTTACCTGTATATCATAAAACAAGGGGTGTACCAAAGCAGGGGTTCCTGCTCAGGCTGCCCTTCGAGGTCATCAGAGGAATGACTGTATACAGGAGGCAGGGTGGAGATTCCACCCCATGTGGGCTTGAGCAGGTCTGGGTGGGCTGGGAGCCCCAGGCAATTGCCCTGCAGGCTCCTCCCTGGATCTAGGGGGCCCTCTGCTGTGGTGGTCAGCTCTTCTGGCTCTGTCCGTCCCTCCCACTGCCATGGTCACTGAGCTGAGACACATGACAGTTCAGTCCAGGCTGGGGGTCATGGAGCCTGGAGGCAGTGTGGAGTGAGGCCGAGGGCCTCTGCCGCAGAGCAGGCTGTGAGTGCCGGAGGCTGGCTCCCTCCCTGGGCTCTAGGGTCATGAGGTCCAGCGCTGGGTCATGTGCCACTGTCTCCCTCTCAAGGCTCTGAGCACTGTCGGTCTCCCCACCCCCACAGGTACCTGGACAACATCCACCTGCACCCCGAGGAGGAGAAGTACCGGAAGATCAAGCTGCAGAACAAGGTGTTCCAGGTGAGGCCATTGTCTGCTGGGGTGGCCAGTCAGTCCCACCAGACTTGAGGCAACGCACGCTTACTTTCGGTTCTGGAGGCTAGGTCCAAAGTCAGGGTGTTGGCAGGCCACACCCCCTTTGATGGCTCTGGGGAAGGAGCCCTCCTTGTCTCTTCCTGCTTCTGGTGGCCCCAGGCGGTCCTTGGCTTATGGCTGCATCCCTCCACCCTCTGCCCCTTTCTCCACATGCTGTCTTCCCTCTATCTGTCTCTCTTCTCCTATGAGAAGGACACCAGTTGTGTGTTCAGGACCCACCCTCCTGCAGTGTAACCTCATGTGAACCTTAGTGATACTATCTGCAGCCAGCCCATTTCCAACCAAGCTCAGGATTGCCGGCCTGGGGTCAGGACACAGTCATCTGACAGCCTTCTGTGGGGGCCAGTGGCCCTCCTGCTTGGGAATCGTGATGCTCAGCATCATTAGCAATGATGGCTGTGGTGGAGTCGATTGCGACTCCTGGTGGCTCCCAGTGCAGAGAGTAAAACTGCCCCATAGGATTCTAAAGGCGGTGACCTTTCAGAAGCAGATAGCCAGGCCTTTCTTCCAAGGTGCTTCTGGGTGGGTTTGAACCACCCTTTCAGTTAGTAGCTGAGCACTTAACCATTTGTGCTACCAGGGATTCCATCTTTCCAGTGTGTTTTGTTTTGTCTTCAGTATGAACGTGTGGGAACACCCACACTTGGGAGGTTGCACTTCAGTGCAGACTTTGGTGTGAGTCGCAGACTCTCACTGTGCCTGTGCTGCTCCTGAGATGGGTGTCTGATGATGGCCGTCAACCCTGCGTGGCTCCCTCCCCACCCCCATAGGCCACTAACCTCATTTTTGGGACGTTTGCTCCTGGCTGTGGGCTCTTGACCATCCAGGAATCCCACACCAAAGCCCCCAGCCCTTCCTTAGAAGCATGTGTCTGCACTCAGCCCTGCAGATGGTGTCCTGGGCTCTGCCCCTATCCAGAGGGTAGGAGCCAGGACAGAGGTGGGCAGGGGGACAGTGGAGCTCATGCACACCATCTGACCCCTGGCTCCACCCCCAGGAGCGCATTCACTGTCTAGAAGGGGCCCACGAGTTCTTTGAGGCCATCGGATTCCAGAAGGTGATGCTTCCGGTTCCCGACCAGGGTAAGGAGCAGCAAGGGACTCTGCTGAGCAGCGGGGTTGTCCAGAGGGGTTGGGACCCAGGGAAGCCGCAGTAGAAGGCCTGGCCCTGTGGTAGTAGTGGTGGGGGTGTCTCCCAGCGTGATGCGGGCTAAGTGGCTGACATTCATGCCATGCTACAGATGACCTTGAGGAATTCTACGTGCTGGGCGAGGCGGCCCAGGCGCAGCCGCAGAGCCTGGAGAGACACAAGGAGCAGCTGCTGGGTGCTGAGCCCATTCGCGCCAGGCTAGACCGCCAGTGCCGCGTCTTCCAGCCCTCGCCCCTGGCCACCCAGTTTGACCTGCCCAAGGACTTCTTTACCCTGACAGCAGAGGAGATCCGACGAGAGCAGAGGCTCAGGTGGGCAGGGGCCCCCGCCGGGTGGAGGGGTGGTGTGGCCCGCGGCCCCCACTGAGCGGCTCTCACGTACCCAGGGCCGACACGGTGGAGCGGCTGAGCGTGCTGCGGACCAAAGCCATGAGGGACAAAGAGGAGCAGCGGGAGATGCGCAAGTACACCTACACTCTGCTGCGCGTGCGCCTGCCCGACGGCTGCCTGCTGCAGGGTGTGTGCGGCTGGCAGAGGGGCGCCTTAGCTCGGGCCCGGGAGTGGGGTGACTCACTCTGCTGGCTCTAGCCCCACCCTGACTGTTGGCCCACCCCATGCTGCCCCAGGGACCTTCTATGCCCGGGAGCGAATGTCCGCGCTGTTTGCCTTCGTGCGGGAGGCCCTACAGAGCGACTGGCTGCCTTTTGAGCTGCTGGCCTTGGGTGGGCAGAAGCTGTCGGAGGACGAGAACCTACCCTTAAACGAGTGTGGGCTGGTGAGTGTGCAGGCCCGGTCCGGAGGTCTTGCGGACAGGCCCAGTGGGGAAGGGCACTACTGTTCAGTGTGGAGTGGCCCTGAGGGGCCGGGATGGGGAGCAGGGTGTTGTGTCTAGCTCTGAGGGTCTGGGCAGAGGAGTGGGGCAGTGTTGCTGACCAGTAGAAGCCTGGGAGCTGGGACCAGAGATGGGCTCCAGCCATGACCTGTACCACACAAAGGCCAGAGGCGAGGTTGCTGTCTCCACTGCAGGTGCCCTCGGCCCTCCTGACCTTCGCGTGGGACGCTGCTGTCCTGGAGGATATGAAGGCTGCGGGCGCCGAGCCGGACTCATGGGTCCTGAAACCCGAGTTCCGATCGGCCATGGAGAAGCTCACGTGAAATAAAGTGGGGGTTGGCTCAGCCAGGTCCATCTCTTGCTATTCTGTCACCCCTCACCCACCCTGCCCTGCTGCCTGGGCCTCCCCGCCTCTTCTGGGAGGGGTGGGCATAATGAAGGAGGTTGTTGGCTGCTGGACAGAGCCTCCTCCCTGGGAACAGAGGGGTTAGGCTTTGCTAGAGACTTGTGTGGGTGCCCAATGCCTCATGGGGACCTAGGGGGCTGCTCATCCTCGGTAGCATTTGACCCGAGTGTCCTTCCCATGGCTATTAGTGTGCTAATGGCAGACCAGGCAGGAAACTCAGCTAGGGCTCCTGGGTGCCACGTACTGGGGGTGGAGCTGCTCGGAGGAGCTGTGGCTGCTGGAGGGAGAGGAAGCCAGGCCAGCAGTGCACGGGCTGCAAGGAATTCCTTAAATATGATGCAGAATAAATAGGATATTTGAGCAGTTTCTTGGTGGTTCATTCAGAGGAACAGGTGGTGTGTGGAGGGGATGGGTGACCAGGCTTTGGCAGATTTTTGGGGGCTCAAGGTGGAAGCCTCTGGGTGGGGGTCTCAACTTCCAGGAACCTCATGTGGACTTCTCACATCACATCCTTTCCTGAGAAACCTGTGGCCCCCACTGTCCCCCACCCCTTGCCACAAGGGTCCCAGGAACCAGGTACCATGCTGGCATATAGAGGAATTACCCCCAGGAGCATCCCACCAGCCCTGGAACAATGGTCTCTCACTGTCCCACTGTCCCAGACAGAATGTCCACCTGCCCTAATCCCAGGGCCTGTGAATGTAGGGTAGAAGAATGAAGGGAATGACCCTGAGCCTGGAGCCAAGAGCCAGTCCTGAGTCACACAGGGAGTCCAGGGTCATCAGAGTCCTCACAGGAAGGCCAATCAGATGGATGCTGTGCTTTGAAGATGAAGGGGCTGTGAGCCAAGGAGTACGGGCACCCTCTAGAGCCACATCAGGCAAGGGCACAGATGGGGCAGTAGGGGATGAGCGAGCAGTTAGAGTGGAGCTTCTCATGAACTGGGCAGAACTGCCAGGAGAAGTGAGACCTGCGGCAGGTCAGTCTCTGCCACTACTGCGTTCACAGGTCTATGGGATCCATACCCCCACCCTGTGGGCCAAGAAACCAGCTGGCTCTGTTCTCTGAGGGGAGGGTGGGTATACAGGGCAAGGGATGCGCCCAGCTGTGTCTCCCTTCAGGTCTGTGGTGGGATTTGTCCCTGCCCAGAAGCGGACACTCAGCAGCCCCAGGACCAGGCTGATAGCCTCACTCCCCACTCTGGGAGGTCCCTACAGCTCCTTTGTATACTCTTGATTTCATTAAGGGCAGTGGCAGCTCAGTGGACTTCCTGCCTGCCGCGCAGAAGACCCAGATTCAGTGCCTGGCTGGAGCACCTCACATGCAGCCACCTGTCGAGTGGAGGCTTGTATGTTGCCAGGGAACAAAGGCCTGGTCACCTACTTTAACCAACCCTATGGCTCACAATGGTCCAAACCACAATTGCATCATGGGGATGGCACAGGACTGGGCAGTGTTTTGCTGGTTGTGTGAAGTCACCATGAGTTAGGAGACTCACTTAACAGCAGTTGACAACTCACTTCAACACCTGCTCTGGGGTGTGGCCTTGACCAGTAGGCTGCTCTCCCCACCTCACAGCCCCAGGACTCAACTACTGGCAGCTCTTCATGAACTCAGGAACACACTTTTTTGCTTAGCAAGAGCAGGTTGGACCAACCAGCAGGGCCAGGGAACTGTGACTTGTACTCAAGTAGTCACCAGCTGCCTCACCCAGCACTTATGGGTAGGTTTAAAGACACGAGTTGGGACAGCACCTTGGGGAGGGAGAAAGTTATGCTGATGCTGCAGCGCCAGGCACAGAGGTGGGTGGTAGTTGTTAGGTGCTATCAAGTCAGTTCTGACTCATGGCGACCCTGTGCACAACAGAACAGAGGGCTGCCTGCTCCTGCACCAGCCTCACAACTGCTGCTGTGCGTGAACCCCCATCATTGCAGCCACTGTGTCAGTCCATCTCATTGAGGGCCTTCATTTCTTCTGACGCTTTACCAACCAGGATGCCCTCCTCTGGGACCTGTGCCTCCTGATCACATGACCAAAGTATAAGACAAAGTCTACCATCCTCAGCCCCAGGGTTACAGGTGAGGAGAGACAACTCAGGGACGCCCAAAGTAGCAAGAGGGAAGAGCAGGAGAAAGGGGATTAAAAGCCAGGAAGCCAGAGAGAAGAGCAATCAGCTGAAGGGATTAGGTGAGGAGAGGCAACTCAGGCCCACCCAGAGTAGCAGGACGGGAAAGCAGGAGAAAGGGGATAAAAGCCAGGAACCCGGACAGAGG